GTTGTAATACCCAACGCTGATTTATAAGCGATGAATGTAAGGGTACGGGAATAAGCAGTTGCTTCATCTGTAAGATGAACGGTTACACGGGCAGAGGTGCCATTTGCAGGATTATTGACAGCAAAAAGAACGTGGAAGTCACCTTTGGATGCAGAGTAGGGATCGGATGTTTCAGAAGAGGTACTAGACTGTAACGCATTGACATCAAACCTGCAAAGCGAGTTATCACAAATGCCTGAAGTTGCAGGATCCCAGCCGGTCATGAAATTGGAAGAAATAACCCTCCATTTCAAAGTGACTGGCGTGCTGGATGCACTACCAATGCGGTTGTACACCTTTATTTCAGAGCCGGATGAGTAACTGTTACGAACAGTATCATCAGCTCCGCTTTCGGTAACAAAAGACTGGGCGTGAACGGCTAAAGATATAAACAGAGAGAAAATACCAAGTAAAATCTTCTTCATAGACTATAGATTATAATGAGTGCAAGATAATATTTCAAAGGATATAATCCAAATATTGTGCCTGATAATACTATTTTTTTAATAAAATTATGTTAAGGCTCAATATTTGTACATTGCAGATGCAGTTCCACCGTTATTGAATTAGAATTATGCTACGTACAATACTTCAGAAAATCAAAAAAGCAAAGGGCTTCACTGTCGGCGTCTTACTCACCCTGGTATTGGGCCTGTTCATACAGGGGAAACAGGGTAATTCATACTTTGAAGTAACAAAAAACCTGGATATATATGCCACACTCTTTAAAGAGCTGAACACTTATTATGTAGACCCGATTGAGCCGGGCAAAATGGTAAAAACCAGTATTGATGCCATGCTCAGCGATCTGGATCCTTATACCAATTATATTACGGAAAGTGATATCGAAGAGTATGAATTTATGACCACCGGGAAATATGGTGGCATAGGTGCTTCTATGAGGAAAAAAGACGACAATATTTATATTGGGGATGTTTATGAAAATAGTCCGTCCCAAAAAGCAGGTCTTCACCCAGGTGATATCCTGATCTCCATTGACGGACAGTCGGCCAAAGGGAAGAGTATTGAAGAATTGAGTCAATTGCTCAAAGGGTCACCGGGTACACCCATTAATATAAGAGTGAAGGACGCTTACAATGGCCAGGAAGTGGATAAAATGGTGACCCGGGGTGAGGTGGAGCTGTCCAGCGTACCCTATGCCGGATTCACCGGTGCCGATAAATCAGTGGGCTATGTAAAACTAAATCAGTTTACGATGGGTTGCGCGCGGCAGGTGCGTAATGCACTGGATAGCCTCAAGACGGTAAAGCCGGATATGAAAAGTGTGGTGCTTGACCTGCGTAATAATCCGGGCGGTTTACTGGATGAAGCCGTTAACCTTTGTAATATTTTTATCGACCGGAATCAACTGGTGGTGAGCACGAAGGGAAAGATGCAGGATTGGGATAAGGATTTTAAAACATCGGGAGCGGCCTGGAATCTTACCATACCGGTTGCCGTGATCATCAACCATTCTTCCGC